AGAGGTGTAAAACAGCACAGTGGAACACAGGTTGAAGCGTGGAACAAGACGACGAATCGAAGAATCGAAGTATCTAGTTTTCAGCCCGTGAGTCGACTCATAACAGCCATGAGTCGAATCATCAGGTTGAGTCAACTCATGCCTGTCATGAGTCGACTCACGAAACCCAGCCATTTGTCACCAGTCTCTGACGAGTCAACTCATCTCAGTCATGAGTCGACTCATTGCTGATTTTGTGTTTTGTCCAGTTTCGGACGAGTCGACTCATCTCAGTCGTGAGTCGACTTATCGAAGGTTTCCTGGTTCGTTTGGGTTTCTGTTTGCACGAATTCCTATTAGGTTTAGGCTTGGTTATTTACCACTTTGCCATCTATGTTGTTACACCTATATAAGGGATTGTTTAGGGTTTCTAATGAATCAGAGGTAATCAAAGTGAGATTCTAATCAAGAGAGATTAGGGTTTAGAGAGAATTGAGAGCTTGTTCTCGATTCTAGTGAGATTGTGAGAGAGGGATTATAATCTTTTCATATTCATAATCTAGAGAGGGTATTTTTCTTCGCCACATACTGAATTGTTCTTGTGTTTCTGTCATCCTCTTCTCAACCCACCTTTGATAATTATGCAATCAAAGGTGCTCGCACGGCGACTCATATCAAGTTGGTATCATAATGATCAGATCCGGTAGAGGGAGCATTCTGTGTATGGTCCTGACTCAATCGCAATACAAGAAGCTAGGCGAGATCCTTATTTTATTGGAAGGAGTCCAGAAATTAAGGAAGAAGAAGATGACTGAAGGAGACAGTTCAGCAAGGCTAGATACATTGGAGAAGCAGATGGAGACGATGGGTTCGACCCTCGTGCAACTCTTCAATCTTGTCCAAGACAAAGGAAACGAGGAGGAATATTCTTCGAAAGGCAAGAAGAAACTTGTGGAGTCCGATGGAGAAGGCGAGGGTTCTGATTCAGATGAGGAGGCCCGTATTGTTAAGTCTATTTCACACTAAGGGGGTAAGGGTTCTTACCAGAATTTGAAGATAGAATGCAAAGTGAAGATTCTTCTTTATGACGGGAGTGTCAACGTCGAGAGGCTTGATGATTAGATCGAGCGGATGAAGACCTATTTCACACTCTACGGATATTCATCCAAGGAGAAGCTCGTGTTCGCGACTTTGAAGCTTTTGGGACATGCATTGACATGGTGGAAATCCTATTGCAAGCAGGAGAAGAAAGCGGTGTCATGGAACAAGTTCAAGGAATTACTTAGGAAGCAATTCTTCCGGTAGGGTTTCTCGAAGAGCGTTGGTACAAGCGATACAGCTTGCGCCAAAGAGTTAATCAAACCGTTCAAGAATAACCCACGGAGTTCCAGTAGCAGGCGATGGTCCTCAACATTGCGACAGAAGAAAATTCTGTGTTTATGAAGTATATGGCGGGATTGAGCGATTACATCCGGAAGGAGATAAAGTTATTCATGGCCGAGACTATTGCAAAGGCGAGTGTGAAGACTATTGCCATTGAGGGTAAGCAGAAGAAGGGCAACGAGACTAAGGGAGACTCCAAACAGACGAGAGGTGAGTCTAGTGGTTCCAAATATAAGGAGAAGAAGAAGGGTGATCCAGGGAAAGCAGAACTGATTTGTAGTCACTGCGAGAAGACAGGGCATGTTGCTGATCGGTGCTGGGAGAAGTATCATCATCTCAAGCCAAGAGGATTGAAGAAGAAGGAGGAGAAAAAGACATATGTGATAGCTCAAGATCCGAAAGAAGTTCCGGGGATAACAAAGCCCAATAGCAGTCTCAACCTAATGGCGGGGAAACATGCCACGAAAGAGGATGAAGACCCCCTGAGAGCAGCTCTTTGTGCTGAAGTTGCAAGTGAAGACCAGTTTGGTTGATGCCATAGTTGATCCGGGCAGCAAGAAGAATTTGATATCCGAGGCCTTGGTTCAGAAGCTGAGTCTGAAGACGGTCAAGCATCCGAAGACTTATCCATTGGGGGTGGATTCAGAAGGAGGAGAGACTGAGTGTAGTTGATCAATGCACTGTCAGATTTAAGCTCCATGAGTCGTATATTGACGAGGTCACGTGCAACATAGTTCCATTGGATGTTTGTTAGATTATACTGGACAATCCGTACTTATGGGATAGATATACGATCTACGAGAGGCAGGCTCAGAAATATACATTCACCAAAGGCGGTGAAAAGTTCATATTTCGTGTAGCGTCTCTTCCGAAGGAGACAAGCTTGGGGACGGCGACGCGAATGAAGAGGCTAGTGAATGCAAACAACAATTGTCTCGTTGTGCATTAGACTTCCAGAAAAGCCATCGAAAGAGGATTGCATGTTGGAGCGGAAGATGACTACGACAAAAGGAGCGAAGGAGTCGTTTCCAGTTGTACATCGCTATCAAGTTCCTAGCAAGGCCAGGTGGTGTAGAAAAGATAGAGGAGTTCAGGAGTTTCCTCAGCTGAAGTTCTAACTTGAACGGGACTTCGAGTTCCTAAAGGGGGGACCCATGATATGGGTGTATCTTCTCTTTGGAACTTAGTGATCCTCATGGGAGCTTAAAGATAGCTGATTCTCATAGTAGCTTGAGAATAGGGGTGTAAAACAACACAGTGGAACGCAGGTTGAAGCATGGAACGAGATGGCGAATCAAAAAATTGAAACATCTAGTTTTTAGCCCGTGAGTCAACTCATAACAGTCATGAGTCGACTCATCAGGTTGAGTCGACTCATGCCTGTCATGAGTCGACTCACAAAACCCAGCCGTTTATCACCAATCTGTGACAAGTCGACTTATCTCAGTCATGAGTCGACTCATTGCTGGTTCTATGCTTTGTCCAGTTTCGGACGAGTTGACTCATCTCAGTCGTGAGTCGACTCATCGAGGTTTCCTGATTCGTTTGGGTTTCTATTTGTATGAATTCTTGTTGGGTTTGAGCTAGGTTATTTACCACTTTGTCATCCACGTTGTTACACCTATATAAGGGATTGTTTAGGGTTTCTAATGAATCAGAGGTAATCAAAGTAAGATTCTAATCAAGAGAGATTAGGGTTTAGAGAGAATTGAGAGCTTGTTCTCGATTCTAGTGAGATTGTGAGAGAGGGATTGTAATCTTTACATACTCATAATCTAGAGAGGGTATTTTCCTTCGCCACATACTGAATTGTTCTTGTGTTTCTGTCACCCTCTTCTCAACCCACATTTGATAGTTCCGCTATCAAAGGTGCTCGCATGGCGACTCGTATCATTGTTCGTCATACGTTTTGTGCCAAGTGTTTGGGGATGTAGCAATTCAGTTACTTGAAGTCGACTGTTGTTATCATCAAGTGTTTGGTTGAGTAAAATTGTTAACTATTAATCATTATCTGTTATGTCATCGGAAACATGTTAACTTTATTTGTTCGCTTGTTAAGTTACACCGATAATATGTTAACTTTCGTAGTTCGCTTGTTAAGTTACACTGATAACATGTTAACTTTGGATGGTTGCTTGTTACTTTTCTAGGTATGAGCGCATGGTAAAAGAGACAAATCCAGGCAACTATATTCATGTTGAACAAAATGCATCGGTTCTATATGACGCTCATGTGTGAATGTTCTTATTTAACATGTTAACTATAATACATGTTAACCTTAATTGGTAAATTGATAACTATATTTAGTAAATTGTTAACTATAATCCATTATATGTTAACTATTTTTTGTAATATGTTAACTAACACCCTTATCATGTTAACTATTAATCATTATCTGTTAATTGTTATTTATAAACTATTAACTATAATGAATTATCTGTTAACTATTATTTATAAACTGTTAACTAATCCATTATCTGTTAGCTGTTATTTGTAATCCATTATCCGTTAACTGTCATTTACTGTTAACTGTTGTTTGTAATCCACTATCCGTTAGCTGTTATTTTGGGTCATATACGCATTAATATAGTTCTTATTTAACATGTTAACTATAATACATAGCATGTTAACATAATCCGTTAACACGTTACATGAGAACTATAATACGTAAATTAATAACTATAATGCGTAAATGAATTATATTAACGTGTTATAGTTAACCTATTAACACGTTAAATGTGAACTATATTAACGTGTTATAGTTAACATTTAACATATTTATAGTTAACATGTTAAATGAGAACTATATTAACATGTTAACATAATCCGTTTACACGTTAAATGAGAACTATATTAACCTTAATTGCTAAATTGATAACATTCTACGTATTATAGTTAACATATTAAATGAGAACTATATTGACATGTATATGACCCGAAATAACAGTTAACTAATGGATTATAAATAACAGTTAACGGTAAATGACAGTTAACGGATAATGGATTATAAATAATAGCTAACATATTACAAATAACAGTTAACGGATAATGAATTATAGTTAACATTTTACAAATAATAGTTAACAGATAATCATTATAGTTAACCATTTATAAATAACAGGTAACAGATAATCATTATAGTTAACCGTTTATAAATAACAGTTAACAGATAATGATTAATAGTTAACAGGATAAGGGTGTTAGTTAACAGATTACAAATAAATTGCAAAAAGGAACATGTTATACTCATCTCATCTTTTAATACACTACGTTCTCATAATTAAAAAATTAACAATTTCTCAAGTATATTTAACATAAAACATGTAAACGTTAACAATCAATCAACTATAGTAATTTGAGTTGCTTCTTTTGATGAATTCAAGCTTTAATAATATAGCATATCTCCAAGCAACACCATTCTTATGTGGTATTTCATCAAACACTTTTATTACATCCATTCAGTGTCTTAGCAACATATGTTCCCTTATAAATCGAGTCCTAATGCTAGCTGAAGAACCTGAGGATTCGAGATATGTCAGGCCTTTCGCCCCATGATGTTTCGATAGTGATTGATGTACTTGGACTCAAGCTCATAGAAGCTATTGAGCATTAAGCCGTAACTCTTATGCTCGGGGTCTTTAAATCGAGGCAAACATACTGGCCTTTTTAGGATCAGTGTCAGCTGACGAGTCGATTTGGGACTTGAACAACTTGATTTTGAGAGGGAGACCGGTAAGAACGAAGTCCTCCGCCTCCAGCGGGAGTGTTTGGAGGGGCTTGAGCTTTCCAAGAACGTCAAAGGCGTAGTTGGCGAAGGCACTCATCCCTTGGAAGGAGAGCCTGAGAGTACCACGCTCGGCGGCAACATCGACGGTCCACGGGAGGAACGCGTCAGTGACGACGCAGTTGGGGGAGAGGTCGGCGAGGATGTGGTCGAAGGGCTTGCGGAGGGTGGTGACGACGGCTATGAATGCGAGGTGCATCGTCGGGGTAGTGGCCGCGGTGAGGTTTTGGCACTCCGTGGCGAGTTCGAGGACAGAGGGGAAGGGGACCGTGAGGAGGTTGACGTTAGAGACGACGGTAGCGAAGGAGGAGGCATTGCCGGGGGTCATGAGGATGATGGCTTCGACACCACGAGCGGCGAAGACGATGGCCATGTCGAGCATAAGGAGCATATATGGTCGGGGGCCATGAAGGGGAAGAAGAGGATCTTGAGAGAGATGACAAGAGTTTAGGGAGGGGTATAGTTGGGTTTTTGGGTAAAATACATAGAAAATTAGGCCAAAGATGAGTTGGAGGGATTAGAGCACAACTTTTTTAAATTTTGGGGGCTGCAGCACAAACCAAAAAGTATGAGGGGCTGGGACACACTGACTTTTGAAATTTAGGGCATTGAAACAATTTTTCCAAAGATTAATTAACAAAACCTTATTTTGTGAAATCAATCCTTACATTTTAAAGTATATATACTAATTTGAGTATATTTTGTGAGGACTGTTGCGCGCAGCGAAAATTTCAGCAGCACTTTGGCAGCACAATAAGAGAGTCAGGTCGCAATAGGAATTCCTATTTCACCAAGGAAACAAGAACCTTAATCAAAATATCTCAACCAAGTGAGATATCAGCTCTTCCTCTCATCAGTTCTAGGACTGACATGTCGAGGGAACCTAAGTAAGCTATTACAAATCACACAAATAGCGAGACAACCAATTTTACGTGATTCGGCAAATTGCCTATGTCCACGAGGAGAGGATGAGGAGATTCTACTAAATCAAAGAGAGTACAAAGAGTTACAATCTCACAAAACTCACAAACTAACCCTCAACCAAAGCTCTCAACTTGCTTATAATTAGGGGTGGGCAAAAACCAAAAAAAACCGGTTCAACTGAAAAAACCACCCGAAAAAGTGGACCGGTTAACCGAACCGGATTAAATGGATGAGAAGAAGACTCTAAACCGCCCGAACCGAATTAAACCGGTTTGGATCCGGTTTGAACCCCTGAACCGCCTGAAAAAAATCCGAACCGAATTTTCTAATTCGTTCTTTGTCGGATATTCATATTGCTCAAAATGGGAAGGACTTCGTCGTTCGGAATTCGGTCAAAATGGAAAGGACTTTTGGTTCGGACGAAGTCGGATGGAATAACTTTCTTATTAGTGAGTCATCACTTGAACATTAAGCTATATAATTGCTCGATAATTTGATTGTTATGTTTACATACATGTTTATATTGTATAGTTCCTTTTTCATTGGGCCTGCTAGCGTATATGCTCGCATTAAAATCGGTGAAACCTCATATAAGCTTTCAAATTCTACTAGAGGCATGTTAAGTTGTTTTCCAAGAAATGAAAGATAACCTTTTGATTATAGTTAATTAATATTTGAATGTTACGTAACCATGTGTACTTGTTGATATGGTTTGCGCTCATTTCACTGATTTTGGTTTTTTGTTAGCTGTGGCAATGGTTTACTTCAAACAAGCTCCACATTTCATTGTTTGGGGGAAAAAGTTAAGTAGACAAAATGGACAAATAATGATACTTCATTAGAAATTAATAGGCAATGATCTCAGGTGTGGGCAGATTTTTGTGAAATAGTATTAATTCGGTCCAAAACTGAAACCAATCCGAACCGATCTGAATTTTGGTTGGGCCGAATATTTGGATGAAGGGAAAAAGATCTGGATCTGGATGAGAGTTTTGAGAATTCGAAAAATTCGGATTGGATGCGGATTGAGCTTAAAACCGATCCGAACCGAATATGCCCAGCCCTACTTATAATATCTTCCTCTCACAATGCTCAAAAGTCTCTCTAATCTCTGATTACAACTCTCCTCTCTTTGATGATTGATTCTAATCTCCATAATGCTCAAAAGTCTCTCTAATCTCTGATTACAACTCTCCTCTCTTTGATGATTGATTCTAATCTCCATATATATAGAAAAACTAAAACCAAAACAAACTAGGAATCCTAAAACCAAAAACAAAACAAATTAGGAATCCTAATAACCTCATGTTACCAAAATAGATTAGGAATTCTAATAACCTCATGTTACCAAAATAGATTAGGAATCCTAATAGATTAGGAATACTGCTATCCAACAGTTCTCCACCTCGACGAAGTATTCCCAAAACTGAACCGATACCAACATGAGCACTAATGCGTCGTCTCACCAAATTCGGTTGCACTAATATGGTTGCCTACATACCCCCTCTCCCAAGGGATCAAGCCACCCGTAGTTCATCCAAATGGCCGTCAACAGCCTCAACAATCACGAATGTGCAATAAGTTTCGACAATGATTAAACTTATTGTTCGGAACCACCTTAGTGAGCATATCCGCCGGATTATCCTTCATGTGGACTTTCACAATCTTCACATCGCCATCTTCAAGAACATCCCAAACAAAGCAATAACGAACATCAATGTGCTTTGTCCTCGCATGAAAAACCTGATTCTTCGCCAAATAGGTAACACTCATGCTATTACAATAAATAGTGACAAACCTCTGCGATATACGAAGTTCCTCCAAAAGTCCTTGAAGCCAAATAGCCTCCTTCACAGCCTCCGTAACTACCGTATACTCTGCCTCCGTCGTAGACAAAGCCACCGTCGACTGTAAGGTACATCTCTAACATACCGGCACACGGGTCAAAATAAACACATACCCCGTCGTAGACTGACGCTTATCCAAATCCCCAGCATAATCCGAATCAACATAACCAATGCATAACTGTCCACCTGTAGTGTCCCGCTCATAAACTAAACCAACATTTAGCGTACCTCGAATGTACCTCAAAATCCATCTCACGGTGTCCCAATGACCCACTCCTGGATCGTGCATGTATCTCGATACCATGCTCACCGCCTGTGACAAATCTGGTCTCGTACATACCATCGCATGCATCAAGCTCCCAACCGTGCTCGCATATGGAGTCTTCAACATCAACTATCGATCTTTAACTGTCTTAGGTGAAAGGTCAGCTGAAAGCTTCAAATGGGCTCCCAATGGTACACTAACTGACTTCGTATCTATGCTAATATGAAATCGTTGTAGAACCTTCTTCAAATAGGCCACCTGTGTTAAACAAATTCTGCCATTCTTCTTGTCTCTGCCGATCTCCATCCCTAAAATGCGCTTCGCCTCATACAAATCCTTCATTTCAAACTCCTTTGAAAGCTGTGCCTTCAACTCATCTATAGCAGATCTGGAAACAGAGGCAACTAACATGTCATCGACATAGAGCAATAAATAGATGTACGCACCTCCTTTCAACTTACGAAAATATACGTAAGGATCAAACTGGCTCCGAGTGTACGAATGACCAATCATAAAACCATCGAATCGCCTAGACCACTGTCGAGGAGACTGCTTCAAATCGTATAGCGATTTCTTCAACCTGCAAACCAACTTATCTTTCCCTGCAGCTCGGAATCCCAATGGCTGAGTCATATATATTTCTTCATTAAGATCACCATAAAGAAATATCGTCTTCACATCCAACTGATCTAACTCCAAACCATACTGTGCCACCAAAGCTAGCAAAATCCAAATCGAAGAGTGCTTCACCATCAGAGAGAAAACCTTATTATAGTCAATACCTTCCTCCTGTGTATAGCCCTTCGTGCCACGCCCCGTTTCTCAAAATACCCGGGAATCGGAACGTGAATAAGCCCGCGACGTATTAGATCAAAGAGATTAAATACATTTCTCCTCGACCTAATACGCTAAGCGTCTAGAAATAAATACAATGTAAAGTCACAGGTCCTCGATCACAGATAGTAAGAATATAATAAACAACACAGAATAAAATAATACATATCACAAATAAATATCATCCAAGACATAATATTCGGGTCAACATTGCCCTTATACATGTCTGAACAAAAGAATACTAAAGAAATATGAAATACATTATACAATGATAAAAGAAAGGAAAATACTACAAAAGAAACTAGGATCATCAACTAAGAAGAGATAACTGAACTTCGACCTATTCTTTAACTCTATCTGTAAGACACTCCTGCTGAGAATCCTCTGGCTCCTGACGATTTCTCAGCTAAACCTATTCTTCCTCTAAGTCTGACGTACACCAGAGAAAACAGGTATACGTCAGCGTGCATGGCACACAGCAAGACCCCACAAAAGAAAAGAAAGCGAACGAAAACCCAATGCGGAAAGCGATACGATAACAAAAATAATAAGAGAACGTGCAACTGGAAATTTAACAAAATTAATAAAGTAACAAGTCGATCATGCAACCAGCGATCAGAATAATCATCCAAGTAACAATGCCATACAACTAGATGGAATTAATACTTAAAAATCTACAACAAGAGATGTAGTATGTCGAGCGAAATAATCCAAACAAGGAAACTCTCATATATATACAATATGTCTCAAATTGTAGATAATTAAATATTAATCCTGATCTATGTATGAAAAGAAATACAACTAGCCTACATCTCACAAGAATCCTATCCACCTTAAGTAACAAGGTCATGTAAGTAACCATTCTATAACAGGTCACTGGTCCACATCTCACACAGAGTCAACGCTCATATCACCGGATAACTGACTGTTCACAAATCTCCTACGTGCATCTAAACCCGCGAAATGGTTCGGTGAGAGGACCACACACAATCCGATTTTGGCCTGGTTCGAACTCAAGCAAAACTCGGGTGACGAAACGATTTCACTAACCAAGTGCGAAACGGTTCACTTTGCCCAACAAACTAATCCCAGTGCGAAACGGTTCTCTAGTGCAAGTCTGGAAGATACATCAACAGTCTTATCCGATCACATGAACCATATCTTCCCATCCTAATTCTTCTCGTTTTTCTAAGTCAACTATAATCCTCATTGGAACTCAGGTTCACCACCTAAACTCAGTCAACATACTCACACATGTAACTAAGTCTGTTCATGATGCACGAGGCCACTAAGTCATGAACTACTAAGGTTCTCAGCACATCAACAGATCATGAATATAGTATAGCATGTTAAACATGATTACGCAGGTTTATGTAACAGAAATGAGAACTATAATAAACATGAAATGCATAAACAAGATACTACAACATGAATACATGCATAAAGGACTTCATCACTACTGGAAGATCCAAACTCCTCATGCAAAATATCCGTACCTACGTA